GTTCACACAACGCGCGGCTATGTGCAGCCAAATGATATAAATAGCGATTTTTGCCGGTGAAATAAATGCAAGACAAAAGTGATATTGAGGTATACACGGGATAGTTTTTGCAATTTCCCCTCTATATTTATGTTGATTTGTATTTCTAGAGGATGTTGGTAGGAATAATAAAGGTTGCGATTGTTTTGATTTTTTAACATCCTCGTGACAACTTTTACATACAATTTTTAATGAAAATATATCATTTCTATCTTAAAATATCAAATCAAATTACACTATTGCACAAGCTAAAACCAAACATACTCAAAATTTTATTAATTAGTCGATCGATTATTTTAAATCATATGTTGTTGTCTTTGATAGAAAATATGTATAATTTATTACTACTAATTAAAACTAAAGTCAACAATATATTTAATTTCATGTTTTTATTGGGGAATTCAGAAAATGGTAATGTGCATGTGCATGCAAATGGAATGATTTACGTGGACCAAACCCCAACCTCATTCACTCACACATAAATTAATTAATAAAACGAAAATGATATTCCTCTCAGAATAAATAAATAAATAAATAAATAATGCATTGATGAAACATAAATTGAAATTAATTAATATTGAAGGGGAAGCAATTAAATGAGGGCCGACTTTGAACCATACAGTCGAGACTTCTTTTTTTATGTGACTTTGACTGCATTATACGTGTGACTCGGACGTATATGTTTTTGTGTGAAGGATTGGATTTTGATTTGAAATTTGAATATTAAAAAATTTAAATTTGAATAGTTATATGATGTGAGATATATAAATATTGATATGACATTTTGAATGTAAAATTAATTTTTAATATAATATAAAAAGTAGATGTTTAACGTGAGATATATAATATTGATATTTGTTAGTTAATTCAATTAGTTGATAATTGTTAGTTGATTCAATTAGCTAGCTTGACTAGCTGATTTCACATAGTTGTTTGTATTAAAATATTTGATATTTCTATTTTATTTTTTTAAAAAAAATATATTCAATTGTGTTCTTTTTAGTTTAGAATATTTGAAATTTTTTGTTATTAGTTATTGAAAATTGTAAAAATGTTATAAAATAGTATTTATTTTTATTATAGTTAGATTTAAAAAATAATATATTTTTATTGAAAAATATAAATAGTTTTTTCTATTGAAAATGATGTAAAATATAAAATAATAAATTTTTTGTGTATATATTTATTATGTTAATTATCGATTAGTTCATTATATTTAGGGTAAACTGTTTTTTTAGTCCCGTAATTGGACCCCCTTATCATTTTAGTCCCGTAAGTGGAGCCTGTCGCAAACCAGTCCTATAAGTGAAAAATTTTCGTTGTTTTAGTCCTCCGGTGCCGGAGACGCCCGCGTGGCTCGCCGGAGGTGACGTGTCCGCCAGGTCAGCGACACGTGGCGCTGACCTGGCGGACACGTCGATTTTTTTATTTTTTTTATTTTCTTAATTTTTTTTAAAACTTATTTTTAATTTATTTTAAATTTTATTTATATATTTTAAATTTTTAAATTTGATTTAATTTTAAAAAAATAAAAAAAAATTGGAAAAAAAAAATAAAAAATCCATGTGTCCGCCAGGTGTTGCTGACCTGGCGGGACACCTGGCGGACACGTCACCTCCGGCGAGCTACGCGGGCGTCTCCGGCGCCGGAGGACTAAAACGGCGAAAATTTTTCACTTATGGGACTAGTTTGCGACAGGTTCCACTTACGGGACTAAAATGATAAGGGGGTCCAGTTACGGGACTAAAAAAAAATTTACCCTTATATTTATAATTTTCAATAAATTTAGTTTATTTTTAGCATAAAATTTATATAATGTAATTTTAATATAAAAATAAATTATTAATATTTATATTTTCTATTTTGTGTTTGATTTTGATAAGTTTATATATTTTATAATTAAAACTAATTATATATAAAAATTAATTATTTTAAATTTATAAAAGTAAAACTATAATATAATAAAATATTCTAATATAATTAATAAATAATCAAAATATATTTATTTGTGTAAAATGCAAGGACAAATAAGAAATAAAAAAATTTAAACTTTTCAAAAATTAACTTTTTAGGTAAAAAAACTAATTTACCAAACACCTAAATTAGTTGTTTTTTGACTGGTCAAACACCTAAAGTTATTCAATAAGCTAAAACCTCTTCAAAAAGCTCTTTGTCAAACACCTCAGTAAATAGTAGAAGTTTTCTAAAATTTGATATAAGAACACACCAGTACGCATGTTAAGGGTACATTTGGTTGCAAGTTCCAAACTGTAGTTGAAAATTTTAGTATTTATTACTCCCTCCGTCCCAAAAGAGTTAATCTTATTTTTTCATTTTTGTCATTTTTAAAACAATTGTCATATTTTCTTATTTAGTAACCGTGGTCCCTATTTTATAAAAAAATTATTATTACTTTTTCAAACTACCCCTAATTATTACTCTAATCTATTTTTTAAAATCCTTCACAAAGCAATGGCATTTTAGTCTTTTATATTGTACTTTATACCCACTTTCAATTAAATATTATTATTCCTTAATTCTCGTGTCAACTTCCAACAAGACGTGTCTTTGGAATGAAGGGACTATTTTTTAAAAAAAATAAGTTTTTTTAATTATAAAATTTAAAGAATATTAATATTATATTATAAAATAATAAAAATAAGATTGAAGATTTTTTTGTTTTGTAAGTGTATTTTAATTTAATTATAAAAATATTAATATTTGTGAGATAATAATAAAAAAAGTAAAGTAATTTATTGTTGGTATAGTTATTTATGATAATAGAGCCGGCAAAAAACTATCCCGGATAATTGGGTTTGATTAAAAAACTTTACTCAATTATGTATTGGGTCAACACGAAACCAACACAATAATAAACGTATTGGATTAGGATTGATGCCGTCAAATCAAACTTGCCACGAGAATCCGATCATAATATATTAGTATTATATAATAAGTTTATTATATATAAAATAAATAAATCTAATTTGATGATTAGTCTTCATATTAATTTAAATTAAGTTCCATCCTAAATAATCTAACATAAATCACTATACACATTATACTATAACCGACAAAAACTAACATAACACGATAACTCGACAATAAATAATTAAATTTGGATCAAGAATTTTGACCCAATTATATATACGAGTCAAGACAAGCCTGATACAATAGTAAATAGATCAAATTAGAACTAAGTGATTTAATCTGTTTAAAGTATTTAATCCGACACGAACCCGACAAAAATTGATCCATTGTCAGATCTAATGCTAATGAGACTACGATTTTTGTACGGACAAAAATAGTAAAACATGACTATTAAATTCAGACTCGGAGTGGGCAAAATATCCAAATCAAATTGTTGAACTATTTACCAAATTGAATTGAAATTAATTTTCGATTAACCGAACAAATTCGATTCAAATACAAACATATTTGATATTTATTCGGTTCGATTTCGATTTTTAACATTGTTTCGATTCGGTTAACCGAAGCGAATATAATTACATATTTAAATTATTATATTTTAAAATTCATTTTAATAATTACTCCCTATGTCCCACATTGGATGTCTTAGTTACAGTAGACACGAGGATTCATGATAAATATAATTAGTAAATAGTTAAAAATATATTACTGAAAATAATTAATCTATAATATAAATCATTATAGATTAAAATTAAGGTAACTCATTAGTTTAATTAAAATTAAAAAAATAGAAAATTTAAAATAATAATAAGGTGTGTAATCATTTTCAAAAAAAAAAAAAAAAGTGACATTAGAGGTGAGACGAACATAAACGACAACGTGGACATGGTAAGTGAGACAGAAGGAATATATTATATTCAAATTTGGTTCTATTCAATTCAGTTCGAAATATTTACAAATAATTTTAATCTATTCGAAATTTTAATTATTTAAACGTATTTTTTAAAATTCAATTTTAATTATTTGTATATGAGACCGTAGTAATTAATATTTCTCATAACAAAGTATTCATTTTTTATTTTTTTTTTATTTTTAGTAATTATAATATCTACCTAACATGATAAATATCCTTACAATTTATAATATTTACACAAATGTAATTACTTATATATTAGACAATACTGATAAACTTATTTTAGTTATAATACTTTAAATTATGTGTAAAAAACATGTACTTACTTAAGGACAAAGGGAGTATATATTTATTTAAAATATATTTTGAATATTTTAAAAACTTGTGTTTTTCAATAATGTACTATTTGTATTGTTCATCTACTACAATCATTTATTTTATTTTTTTTTCATCTTAAAACATCACATTATATATATTTAATACATGTAAAAAAATTTTATTTGAAACATTATACTATGAAACTTATATCATCTCAAATAAAATATTATGATAATGCATATTTTTTACTATTTAAAAATAAACCAAAACACCAAAATACAATCAAACAAATATTATATTTTAATAAAATATATTCACTATGATGTCACTTGATAAAATTGCATACTTCCTCTCCCACCAAAATGTATGACCATTTAATGGGCACACATTTTAAACAAAGTATATAAAAATAAAAACATTCTTTTTTAGGATAAAAAAATAAAAATAAAAAATAGTACTTTTTACTTAAAAAATAAAACGAAAATACATTTAAATAAAAGAAAAAAGAAAGTTAAAATAAATTTAGATGACTGATAAAGTATAATTTACTTGAGAGTTAAAAGTCATCATACTTGATATTGCAGTCATAAAATGTGAAAACTTACTCCCCAATCTTATTTACCATTTTTATCCGTTCTAAAATAATAGTTTCATTTTCATAAATAATCATATTACTATAAAACTATCCTTATTTTTTCATTATTATCACACAATTATCACTACTTTTTACAAGGACAAAAAAGTCTTTTACCGCATTTTTTTAACCACCATCATTTATTTGTAATGTAAAGAAGAAGCCTGAAACTAACTGCATGCCATGAATTGTCGGCCCATAAAAACCACACAGAAGAATAGCAATTTGAAGACGCCTATGTGTGAAAAATTTTCCCCAATTCATCAGACCAACATTCCTTAATTTTCTCAAACTAGAAAATTCAAATCGACACAGACAGACAAGGAATACCTCTAAAATCATACCTCTGATCCCAAGATATCGAATCACATCAGCCATCCCATTTCCACCTCCGCCCGGCCTCCTCGAGGACTTTCGCCCGAGCTTGGCTATTTTTTGCCTCCTTCTCCATCCAAGTTCTGCACCAAATACTTCCGAATTCGTCAAGAAACAATACTCGGGATCCAACACAACGAATAGCAGGAATACTGATTCTTACCGTAGCATTCGCATTGCTTCGATTTCAGCTTCCAGTATCGACTTAGTATCGATCAGTTTCGCATAATTAGCCTGCAAATCATGCCGCGTGCTGCTCACCTCGCGCTGTTCGTCAATGTGCTCCGCGCTCTCAGAAGAAAGTTTCTCCGACAAAGATTCGACTTCACCTTTCAGATTCAAAAGCAGCTTCTCCTGACAATTCAACGCCGCCTTCTCCCTCGCAAATTCCACAGCAGCGTTCTCTTGGAACATCTTCGCCTCTTCCAGCGCGCTTACTGCTGAAATATAATCCGCTTCCACTTTCACGCCCCGGTTTCGTTCCTCCTCAATCTTCCCCTCCCAATACTCGCGTATGTCGCCTCTCTCGAGGAGCTCAGACCTCAGCTCCTTTAGTTCACTCTGCCTTGCGATGATTTCGGCTTCCAGTCTCGATATCTCCGCCTGTATGAACTCTGACATTCGTCCGCTGGTCAGTGCAACAGCAGCCTGAGCCTTCGTGCACGGTTTGCTCGGCTGCAATCGCTTGCTCTGTCCTGTTAAAAGCATCTAACTCACATGAACATACATTTATGACGATAAAAATTAAAAACCAAGATGGAATGTAAAGGAGCTAACCGAAAACTGCTCTGATGACACTCTTTTCATCGGCCCTGATGTCCATATAAAGATCGGGTAATATGTCTACGGGAATCTCCTTCACATCCAGAAAACCAATGTTTCGCCTTGACATCTGAGCTGCAAGAAAAGTCATGTCCTTAGAGAAGAATTACGACGAATTGATACTCTTGTCAAAGAAATCCAATATGTTCTTACCTTTCCATCCACTTCCGGCACTTCATACTCTATTTTCGCTTTCCAACAAACCAGATCCTGACGAGATATAAACCTATTACATTAACCAATTTTTTATTCAGTAGAGTCAAATATAAAGCAACGAACACAATAGTGAGGGAGTTTATTTAACTTCGGCTATAGACTTAATGTACCTCTCAGGAGAAAAATGTGCAGGTTCTTCTACTTTATCTAGACTTGAACCAGAATTTCCATTCGACAGTTTGCTTCTAACAATCCCAGCCTCAGCCAGAGCTAAATGCAAGTTGGGGATGGAAATTTTCATTTTTTATTTTAAAACTGAAAGCATCCGCATATAATGAGATGATGGGTTAACAAAACCTTACATTGAATAGCTTCAAAATCGGGATCATCAGCTGGCACATCATCAAAGGCAGCAATTATAGATCCAGAAAGTGCAGCAGGGGAATTTATGCGATGCTTTCTACTTCTGATCACCAATTAACGCATCCATATCACTAATTTCAGTTTCAGTAAGACTGATGCAAATAAGAAATATATATATATCACAATTACCTCTCCAGATGTGAATTTGCCCGCACTAACCACCGTGCATATTCCCGTCTTGTACACAATTCACTAGCGCTGGCGTCATCTTCAATAATCTGTACAGCTTGAATGAAATGGTGAGATCACACAGTCAACAGAAGCTCATTTGAATTTTGCCTAAAATTGGGTTATTTTGAAAGGAGAATGTTTAGTAGTGGTAGATGCAAATTGAATAGACTATGCTTTGAGAACAGAACACTAAGAATAGTAAAGGTTATTCAGATGTTTCAAAGATTAACCCCTTGTTGAAAATGAAATTTGAATCACACTTAGTTCATCTCCTTGATTTATCAGCAGCAAGAGTTCAAACTTAAGTCAGTTCCATATGTGTCTTCAATGCTTAGGAAAGTAGATAAAGAATGCAGCATAGTTCTAAGGTTTTTTGCAAATGCCAAGCATGAACCCAAGCTTATTTATCGTTGTTAAGAAAATGTTTAAAAAGGATAATACCGAGGCTTCTATGATTCAGACAAAGAAACAAAGAAAAATTGTAGCCCGACCACCAAATAATCATCCATCAAAAACCAAGTTTGGTTGGAGATTTGGCCCAAGTTCACAGTATTTATCACTTTTTTTTGCGTCAAATCCACCTAAGTTAAACACATTCATTCAAATCATTGGTTCAAACAACTATTTACACCACATCAGAACCTACTTCAATTCAATTTCTGTAATTCTCAAACCCCAAATCCCCCATTGAAACAAGCCCTTGTGCCAGCACTCCCAAGATACTCTACACATTGATATATTATTCTCTCAATTATACATAATACTTCAAAAACACACCATATGAAATTGATTAAGGGATACCTTGAGTTTCTGTAATGCCAAGAAAGCTTCCTGCTGAGCCGAATCAACAACAAACGAAACTAGAATATGCTCAAACTTTTGTTCTTTTTCAGCTTCAAAAATTTTCTCTTCATGTAGAAAAGAATGGGTTAGAAAGATTGTTTCATTGCAAAGGGCCAAAGCATAGTAAGAACCACATTCGAAAATAGACTAATCGTATGTATGTGTATATATACATATATATATATATATATATATCCATACAAAATCTTAAGTAAATATTTAGCAGATCTTACAGATTAGGCCCAACAGTTCTTTGAAGTGATCCTACATATACCAAATTATAACTTCACAATATTCCATCCAAATACCTGTCATCACAGATGCCTCCGGTGCATCATCCAAGTTTTCAGTCGGGACGTCGGTGGCCTTTAATGGCACATCTGGTCTGGTTTCACTTCTGCTGTCATCTTTATCACTTGAATAAGAAGGCTCTGAGAACCCATGGAAACCATTCCACGGACTTCTGAGTCGAATCCCTGGGAAAGCAGAATAAACACATCAAGCCTGAAATTGAAACCATTTAATTGAACATTGGATCACAGTGCATAATCAACATCTTTCTTAACTCCCTATGAAGAATTAACCAGTGCACACGAATTAACCGGCAGATAGTTGAAAGTAAAACCAACCTTTGCTCGATAATGCAAAATAGGCAAGCAAACCGATAATTCCAACAGCAGAAGCTCCAAAACCAATCACAGCAAATACATTCAAACCTACAAAGAAAATCGTTCAATAACTATCCCAAAATATAACCGTCAGATTTAGCAAGATATGATTTACCCTTCTTTTTGACCAGTTTGGGATTATCTTCTTCCTCTATATCCCACCCGTTGAAGTCGTCAGAGGCAACTTTATCCCAAGAAATCCAAGCTAAATCAAGAGCTAAATCGCTCTCAGCAGTTGAAGCCGATATCGAATAGCGGCTAGGGTTCCTGGCTCTAATGTGCAAGGGATTGCCCCAAGAACTGGATATGAAACCGCGGTTCAGTAAGAAGGGGATTTTAGAGGGCAAGCAGAGTGAAAAAGATGCCAAAGAAGAGCACATGTTCTCGGGCTTTTCCTTCCTATCTAAATCTTCCTTCTTCTTCTCGAACTTCTTGGCTGCGCAGAGGCTGCAACTATCAGAGAATCACAGTTGGTTATGGGATCGAAATTGGGAAATTGCATTGACGTTAGCTCGAGAAAAAAATGGAGTGTCAAAGTCCTAAATAACGGAAATGACCAATGCTTCGTCTTCGTTGGGATGGGAGAGCGAGGAGAGCAAAACCCCCATCGAAATTACAGTGTCCGCTGCCCTGCTCTCGCCATTCTGAATTTTATTTTATTTTATTTTAAATTACAATAATAATTTTACGCCGCAACTCCAGTGCGATTGTCCGTTTATATTGAAGTTAAAACTTGGGAGCTCCAGGGACCTCAGGTCCTCCACTGATTAGGAGTGTGATTATTATTATTATTTGCTAAATTTTCCTAAATTTTACTCATTTGTGTATAATTTTGTAAAATATATTTATATACTTTAATTATATTTTAAAATTTATAATAAATTATTTAGTCAATTAACATTAATTTATAATTATTTTATTTATTATATTAGTAATTATTTTTACTAATATATTTTTTAATTATTTACTAAGAAAAAAGTAATATATTTTTGCTCCGTTCAAACTAAAATTTTAAAGTTTGATGTTGTTCGAAAAAAAATATATATTTAATATAATATTTTTAAATGAGTAATACCAAAACCTGTCAAGAATATAATTTCAATTAACACATTATAGGTTGTATTTGTTTGGAGATTCTTCCAAATTGTTCCTCCGTAGATATCAAATCAATTATACCCCTATTTCAATTCAAAATTTTTAGGTATTGAAATATATTCCACTAGATTGAACAAAACTAATCAACATATGAGGACTAATAAACACTCTAACCCTTCCAAAATTTTGACCCTAAGTTTCAATGTCAAGTAATAAATCCAAATGAGGGATGATCATGCAAACTATTCCAAACCATAAATGGATAATAAGGTCTAGATAAAAGTTCCAACCACAATAAACTCACAGACATTAGTACAGCCAAGTATCGATTTAAGAAAACAAAAGGATCCTAAATCTCATCTCTCATCTTATTATTATTAATAAAACTACCCTTCTTCATATAATGCACAGCGATTACAAACTAGGTTTTGTTGTAGTAGAGCAAATTCTAGGTTTTACTCTATTTGCCATTTTTTCTTATTGTACCACCAACATGCTTCGGATCTCTACGAGGCCCGGTTCTGGAAACCTCCTCGCCCACGGCCTCCTCCCCCTCCCCGACCAGAGTATCCATACCCGCCATAGCCTCCTCTGCCATGATAGGAGCCGCGGAAGCGGCCACCTCCACGGCCAGGGCCACGGCCTCGACCACCACGGTACCTTGAAATATCTCCAAAAGTCTGCTTTTATGTAAATACATTTTGGTCCCGTTACGACACTTTTTCTATTTTCGAGGGTAATATGGAGATAGACAGCAAATAGGTTTGTTACCTCTGAATCCAACTTCATTTGCTCAGAATATCTTGTCCTTCCATTGTTTGGATTGTTGTTACTCAGGGAATTGCAAGAAAGGGAATCGAAGAAGTCGTCCTTGTTATAAACAGCCTGGAAATAAACAAATAGGGACATGAATAATGATATCCTAAGTTGCAAGAAAGAAACACGCTAAAAAGATCTATCTCACGCACCTTTGGCAATTCACCATTTTCGACTTGCGCCTCATCTTCATCACTGCCACTTACATATCCTTCTTTATCCTTCCCTTGTGATTTACCACTTTTCCCCAGATGACCCCACACTTCGTCCTTATTAAATTTCTCATTCATGGCCATGAAATCAAAATCTTCAGTGAATTCTGTCACAGCGCGGGAGACCTAGAAGGCAAAAGTGGAGGCATTTATTTAAGGATCATTTGTATTAATACAAAATGCATTATATTGAAGTGAAGCCACATGAAAAAAAGCTAACTAAATAACTCCAGAAGAATGTATATCAAACTCTTACCCTGTATCCTCTCCCACCGCGCCCTCTGTAGTTGTAATTGTTCCGGGTGTGATAAGAACCTCCATTTGGCTGAAGGAACAGCAAGAAAAAGACTATCATGATGACACCCAATTTTTATCAATATTCACATTTATAGGCTATAGCAATTATCAACTAGGTAAAAAATATAACATATCGATCTATATCTGTGTTTGTGTGTGTTTTTGTGTATATATAGATATAAAAAGAGAAGGCTGGGATAAAAATGTTACTACAAGTCAACCCAGGAACACTATTATCCAAGGATGACATAGCATCTAGTCCTACAAAATTATTAACCAGCATTAGACAAATTTTTAGGTAGATAACACTAGCAATGAGCAGAAAGCGAAAACCAAACAAATATAAACCCATCCAGAGCCATCATTCCAAGGATGGATTAGCCATTAGCGTATTGAATAAGAATGATAGCAGGATGGTAGCAACTGTCAATAGCACCGCCCCTACTAATGCTTCATGATACTGAGGGTACATCATCTAGCAATTTTAAAAACTCTCGTTCCTAGAGATCATAGAATTGAAAACCCTAATATTCTATTTCATTTTTCATTGCTATTCAATACACTAGTAGGTTCAAAAGAAATTGCAACTCCTGTAACACTGAAAACACGAATAATTTACCCTGCTCACTATAGATCTACTTATTGGGTACACCAGCATACTACTTGACCAAATATTGGGACACAATTTTTCACTTCAGTATAATTACGAAATACAGCCAAACTATTAATGATATTGGGAGGGTGGAATTATCAGCAACACTTCTTATAGCATTCATTTGCAGCCATTAGCCATTGGTAAATACTATAGCCTCGTATCATCAAGCATATTGATTTTATTTACTCAGGAACATCAAACATTAGTTCAAAAATAATGGTATGTGTATGCAAGAGACATGCAAAAATAAATAGACAAAATACCTTTTGAGCTCGAGAATTTGCTGGTAGAGGCAATATTGGCGGTTGAGCTTCTGACACTACTGGCTGTGAAGTTTCTGGCAATGGCTTGGATGCCACCTGTACTACTTCCACATCCTTCTGCGTTGTTTGTAATGTCTGGGGCATAGCACCAGGAGCTGGTCCAGAATGCAGTAGATGACCAGGAGTTATGAGTGAAGGCGTCGGTGCTTCTGTAAGAACTTGACCAGATGTCCCAGAAGTTCCATGATTGGATAAGGGTTGCTGTGGCAAGGTTGCAGTGCTAGGTATTGTGCTGGGTTTGCTAGAAACTAAAGGTGCTCCAGGATTATCAGGTCCAGATGTAGGAAGATGGGATAGAGTCGACAAGCTAGCGCTTGGAATCAATGTAGGGATTGTAGCAATTGGATCCCTGTTTGGAAAATGAGAGAGAGATGGCAAGCTAGTGTTTGGAGCTGAGGTAGGGACTACTGCAATAGGATCCTTAGCTGGCAGAGAATTATTCATCGTCTCAGACATTAGAGACATAGGTTGAATGGGTGGTACATTCAAAGTTGAGCTAGAGGCAGGTAAAGTAGATGTAAAACTAGAAGAACTAGATGTGTTGGGAATGAAGGAAGCATGGTAGTCAGGTAAATTAGAAGTTGGCAAGCCAGATCCAGTTGTTGGCAATGATGAATTAAAACCAGAAAACTGCATCTGTTGCATGGAAGGAGGTAAAGACAGGCCAGGAGGTGGCCGAAGCAGGGATTGCTGAGGTAGTTGAGGTAGCCCATTAGGTGCACCATAGAATCCTTGCCAATACATTGGCATTGCTAAGCCAGTACCATTTGCATTAGGAGGATTTGGGCCCCATGAATTCAAGTTTCCGCCGGGTTGGTACATAGGTAGACCACTTTGGAAATTAGATCCAGTAAGTCCCGAATGTGCACCATGCTCAGTTAATGAACTGCTAGGAGCTGTAGGCATGCTGGCTGGTGGTGGTGTAGGATGAGTATACTGAGACTGCACCAATAGTTATGCAGGTTATGGTCATATTTTTCCAGCTCAAATTACAAACATAGTTGGATTATTGGTTACCTGAATAATTGCAGGATCATTGTTAATGGACGGAGTACTTTGAACTGGTGGAGAAGCTTTGACCTGTAAATCCTGTGGAAAAAAATTAAAAGAATCATACTTGCAGTTTGACTGAAAATTGAGAACTTTGTACTTCAAATTTATATTTCTTTTCTGTTTAATCAGGTGACCAGTTTTAATTTCAACTAAATAACTATTGCGCAATTGAAAATTCTTATTTTGTTTGCGACAGATAATAGTTCAAATATCATGGACTAACTAGAGGTGGAATGTGGATATTCCAAGCAGGACAAAACAAATATCTAGTCAGGAAGCTGATGCTTGACCAATCCAAACAAAAGTTAGCTAACAGGTGAACAGCCAATTACAATTCGCACCTTGATATCGCTTCCTCTAAAGAGTATGTATTCAAAAATCTTGTCGCTTGGAGGGACCTGTGGACCATCCTTCTTCCTCCCTTCCGTACCAAAAGACCTCACTGCCAAAATATATACAAGAAGTCAGCAACAAAAGGCTGTCAACAATATCCAAGATTTTCAGCTACAAACAATGACAAAAACTTTGGTTACGATCTTCACTTACCCATATTTAACTATATGGTAAATTTCATGAATCAAATTCAAACATTAAATTAGTGGCAATATCCGTGAGTCTCGAATGCACCAAAAGTCATTTAAATTCATATACCCTCATGCAAAAGGAAACAAGACAGCTTACAATAAACCCAATTTTAATAGCTTGTAAAGAATAAACAATGTGCCGGAAGTCCTCGGACTGCATCCCAGTTATATATATAGTAGCACCATTAAGTATTTAAGCAAACTTTTAATATCATTAACTTATAGCTGCCCTGCGCTACCCTACCTGATTATAACATCTTAAAAGAATTTAATAAATAAAATAAATAGTAGAAACCTCTCTTGAAGTAGACCTACCACAGATACACTAATCTGGCTAACAGAATGTGCCCAATAGCATGTTCATGAGAACCCAAAAAACAGCAGAGCACAACAAATTGCAGTCGAAATAAGAAATAGGGTAATATCTCATCCTCAAGGATTTTGTGCTTCAATTCAAAAGCCCAGTAAAACTTTTGAATTCTGATCAACAAAAGGATAACACGAACAGATGCATGAGCACAGAATATATGAGATATGAGCCTCGGCGAAATTATAGACGTGAGAAAAGGACAATTAAAACAATCGACAGTGAAAGGCAAGAAAATGGCGACCAAGATGTAATGAAGAATTACCCAACCCCAGACAAATGCGAATTCTAAAAAAGCATAAAACACAAAAGCAAATGCGAATTACAAAAATAAAAAATAAAAAACTACACAAAACTAGACCAGTAACAGCAAAGAAATGAATGCATATCCTCCCTAATCCTTCTCACCGTTTCGTAGGCCGATGCTGGACTCTTCGGTGTTGATATTGTACAGTATCCCTTCGTACCTGATCTCGCTCTTCGAAGTCAAGCTAATCAAACTTCCGATGTACGAATCCGCCGACGCTCCTCCGCCACCAGATCTACTGCTCGCTGCCGCCGTCGAACTATCGGCTGCCATTTTCTCCTACGCCTAAATTATCGTTATATCGATCCTCCAAAAAAAAACAAACAAAGATTCGAACACAATACAGTCCGTAAGAGAGTGAGATTAGTGTCGTTCAGAGAGAGAATCTCCAAACATTGACAATTCTTTGAAGTGAGATTGTGTGGGTGACGACTGATGGCTGGGCCAAGAAAATTTTTAGGGTTTTCAGTTTTCCCTCTTTTCTTTTCGTTTCCTCTGTTTCTTCGTCGTTCTTTTCTACTGCGATTGCAACTCATCTGGGGCTTGTGGGTGATAATAAGACAAAGATGGGGTCCTTTTCGTAATTTCACAACCCGCCCTTTAAAAATTGGAAAATTAATTGGGCCAACTCATTACCGAATTAAACTCACTTGGGCCCAATTCAAAATCCAATTTCAGCCCAAACAACTATGCATGGGCCTTGCTGTTATTGATAATTACATTGATTTATGTTATTGGGCCTACACATTTTTCAAATTTTAGACACCTCCACTTCTTTGTATGCTTATTACCCTAAAATCAAGTGGCTTTTATTTAGAGTATAAAAATGATAATGAAGTCTAGATAAAAATTTACAAATTTTTCTATTTTATTTAAGAATAATGGCTTTGGTTACTTTGATTTTTTTTTTTCAATTTTTTATGATACAATATTTACTAAAATTCAAAATCAAAACATAAAATAATATATATATCTAGGAAAAAATATATATAGACCTGATATCTTTGATTTGATGTGATTGTATATATTCTTGGAGATTATACCATAATAATGAAAAATAAGTAAATAATATTTTATTAGTGCATCTTTAATCCACGCTAAATCCAACGCCGAGTGCAACGTTAATTTTGGTGTTGCACTGTATTTGGCATTGTTATATTTTTATTTTTTCTAATTTTTTTAATTGTAAAATTATAAATTTTATTTTTAAATTTAATTTTTATTTTTCAAAATTTTTAAAAATTTTATTTTAAATTATTAAAATAAAAAATTATTTAAAATAATATGAAAAATTGAATATTTGAAGAATAATAGTGAAAAATAGAGTTATGATTAAAGTAAAATTACTCTAACAACTACATATTTGGAGTTAAAACTGGATAAATGAAATCGATTGGGTTGAAGATGGCCTTACACAACACTCTCCTATTAAATAAAAATATTAAAATATATTTCTTCCCTTCTATACAGTTGAATCTTTTGAAATTTTTAATAAATTAAATAATAATAATATTTTATTTAATTAGTAAAAATATGTAAAATAGTTTTGATGTTTATGTAATTATGAATTTGTTTGTTTAGTATTTTGATTAAAATAATTTTTAATCTAGAATATAGAGAATTGTATAATTAATAAAAAAAAATACTACGTCCAGCTCTAAGGTCTCAATTATTTTTTGCTCGTTGATTTTTATATATTAATTATTATATTAAAACGTATTACAAATTAAAAAAAATTGCAAAAATATTTTCATTAGTATATTATAATACTAATAAATAAATATTTATAAAAATATATATACAAATACAAAAATATTTTTAATATTAAATATAACTATCCAAAAAAGTAAATGTAACTCAAAAAGTAAATGTGACTCGGATATGTGAGTAATATTTTATTATTGGTAAAATATGGGCTACAAAGTTTTGACTTAATTTTCAACTGCATATATCGGTGATTTCTATATTATTATTATTAGTATTGGTATTATTATATCGTGAGTTATTCTACGACCGTGTTCTTTTAGTCGTTGCCATTTACCTGGTCACTGCCACTTACTCTAACTGCTTAACGTGCTTAGTGGTTTTTTTGTCCTTTATTTGTATTTATGTTTTTTTAGATAAAATATTATATACAAATTTTACTTTTTTTTAATCGTGGAAACTTGCAGCCGCTACCGAAAGTAAGCATTGGCTAAACTCTCGATCGATCCTAATACCCCGCAAACCAGGCCCGACGAGAAAGTTACACTAGGCGAACTATGTTATCCAGTAAAAAGTTCAAATTTAAGTTCAAAGCTGAATAAAAATATTTTAAAATACAAACTTCGGAATACATTGAAATATTTTAAATTTATATGTAAAAAATATTTAAAAATCAAATTATAATAAGTTTTTAAATGAAGTGTGTTTATTTGAGTTTGGTTTAGGAAAATTTGGTTTGGGCTTAAATTATAAAAAATGATTTGAAATTTTGTATTCCTTTGAGTTTGTAAATTTAGTTTCGATTTTGTAATTCCGACCGATATTGATGCGATATGTAATATTAATTGGACATAAATTGAATGGTTATAATTCCATTTAAAACATCAAAGGTTGTGTTTGTTTGGAGTTTTTAGGGTATTTTTATTATTCATATCATTTTTTTCTCTAAAATTATCAAATTAAAATTTTATTTATATTAATTATATTAAAATTCAATCTCATATTCAAAATATTATATTAATATTTATCTATACACATCATTAATAACCTGCTTAACCAATGCCGGATTTACCTTCCAACTCTCTCCTACATTGATAACATATTAACTAACTTAAATTTACCCATATTACAACTTAGCTCAACATCTTTTTTTTTTTTTTTTTTTTTTTTTTTTGGAAACGTAACAAATTTGATTTATCATAGGATTTACAAGCCAACACCAAAAGTCGAAGAGCTTTTTACATTAAAACTACACACCTGCATTACTTAGGCCTAATTTCTTACCAGTACATTTGACTGTTTCCACAGCTTCTGTGCTTCGTAACGACAAATTTTTTGTGCATCAAAATAATATAATGCCTATAGGAACCATTGCTCTTGTATACATGCTTCAAAGCCAGGCATTCCTATTGCGCCGCATTTTGCTAGACAATCAACCATAGCATTGTCTTCCCTAACAATATGTTTAACCTCAAATGTCTTTGTATGATTTAGAATCTCACAGATCTCTTGAAACTCTCATCTAATATCCAAGGATGTATTGATTTTTCGGAATACCAAGCCATGACTAATGATGAATTATGTTATATCACCGATTTTGAAAAATGATATCCCCTATGAATTTTCGGCTACACCAACACTTTCCGTAGGGCTTCTATAAAATTTGAGAGAATAAAGAAAATAATTCATTTACCATCTCGGATAATTGCACCAATTGAGACACTCGAATGCTAAACCATCAATATTAATCTTCCAACATACATCTTCATAAGGCACCCAATAAATATTTTTGCATTGGGGGTTTTTGTTTCTCCAATTAGATGAATTAATCAGAGATGGATTCTCATAAAGCACAACCGACACTAATCCAATTTAGGAGTTTTTTGCTTGGACTTATTTTCATGCGTTCAATCTGCTTCATTCCAATCCAACATCCCAACTGTCAATGCTGATTTTCTTTGAAATATTAGCTCATTGTAAGATGTCTAAATACTCCAAATTGCTAACACCATTACCAACTCTCAAATATCTAGAGCGCTTTTTTTCTTTTTTCTTTTTTTTCTAAGGAATCTTCACTGAACAATTAGCTTCCAAATATTTTTTCATATCACCCAAAGCACTTTATACCATTGTATGATCTCAGAATAGATACTTGACGTCATGACACAGTGCAAGAACAGATGATCAATAGTTTCAGCTTATGGATTACAAAAAGGATAGCTACGGTGACTCACGTCTTAAATCCCTCTCATTCCTAAGGCTTTTCAAATGGGTATTCCTACATGCATAATCCTTTACACCATGTATAGGAATTTAGGAAGAGCAACAAATTTCCATAGTTTCTCATAAATAGGATTAGGCATTGAATTTCAACCTATCGCTACTCGACCAGCTTTAATTGATTACACCCTATTTGAAGTTTATCACCAAATGACGCGATCTTCCATACCTATCTAGGGGCTGCAAGTATTAATAACTTCAAAAAATTCCTCGCACACTTGAATTTTTCAATCAAAGTAATGTCTTCTGAGTGTTAATTTCTAGATCCAATATCCCTCTGCCCACTCTTCAAAATCAAATATCATGTCTTCTTTTTTCACTGATAGTGAAAATATTCTTAGAAAAATAATTTTCAAAATCTCTTTCTCCACCCATACATCTTCCCAAAATCTTATATTCTTTCCATTTCTCATCAAGATTTTCAAATAGCATTCCGAGTTTACAACTTGTTCAAAACCAGCCCACCATTTTTAAATCCACCACATCGAATTAGTTAGGATGACAAGTCCCCTCCACCTACGACTCTCTACACTCGAGATTACTTATTTCCAAATCGGTCCATCAAGCTGAAATCTCCATTTTCATTTGTATACCAAAGCTAAATTGAAAAGGTTTACATTTCCCACCCCTAATCCTCTTGTTACTCGGGGTTCTTGAATCAGTTGATAATTAATCTAACATAATTTAATCTTCCTTTCTTTATCCCTCCCAAAAAAATTTCATTTCATTTCTTTAATTTTTGCTGCAACCCTTGCTTGAATTCTGAAAATAGATAGAAAATATAAAGGGATCGTATTCATCACCGATTGGATTAAGCACAGTCTCCCTGCTTGCGAAAGAGATATTTTTTCCAATGGCACAAAAAACTATCAATTTTTTTTCAATGATCGACCTCCAAATAAATTTTATTTCTTCCTTCAATTGGAATTTTTAAGTATAAACACGGCCACCTTCCCTTACAACATCCGAAGATCTTTTTAGCACTCCCAAGTTGTACATTTGTCACCCCAATGCCAAATACTTGGGATTTAGCAAAATTTACTTTGAGACCGGTGCAAATCCGAAAAATCCGAAGTATTCTCTTTAAAGCTAACAGATTGTCATCCTCTTTCTCTATGAAAAAGATTGAATCATCAGCATATTGAATGTGACTTACTTGGACCCTAAGACGTCCTACTGAGAAGCCCTTTGATCGGACACTAGAGCAAGCATTCTTCATTAAAGCGTTCAACACTTCCACCACCAGTACAAAAAAAAAATACCCGGTTAAGGTCTCCTCTGCGAATACCTCTACGTATTAAGAAGAAGTTTGTTGGAAAGCCATTGTTGAGCATTGCAGCCATTGAGGATGTGATACATTTCATACTTCAATATCTCAAATTATCGCCAAAATTTATGGCCGAAATTATATTTTTCAGCTCCTTGCAAGCAACACTATCATATGCTTTAGATATATCAACCTATATGAGAAAACCCTTTACTCCGGCCTTTTTTGCTGCTTGAATAGTTTGTGATGCTGTTAAAATTTCATTTAAATTTGTC